GGCTGTTCATAATTGCCTATGTGACTTGTCAGTTCCTCTTTAACTCATACAAAACCTTTGTGAGTGTGACATTATATCTAGACAATAGTTATGTTAATTTCCTTAATTGTGATATTATCTGCCTATCAATAGCCACCTATTCTAAACTTTAAAACATGTAGCAATTATTTTTCATGCTCAAAACTCAAAGTAACAATAACGTTGGAAAAAAAGGGACATTTCCTGTGAATTCAGTTAAAATAGAATGCTCACTTTTTCCTCAGAATAATGCTTTTTAAAATTTTTATTATGCAGTAATGCTTATTAAGGAAAATATGGTTAACACAGAAAAATAAAAGGAAAATTGTAAACTGTAATTTTACTAAACAAAGACATCTACATAACATTTAGGTATATTTTCTTTTCTCAAGGCATCTATAACAGATATTTGCCATTCTTGTTGAATTCTTAGCATGTGTGTGTGGGGAATTTCCAGCTTATGAAGCAGATCTTACTTCCCATTTTAGAAGCAGAAAACCCAAGGCTTATGTTCAGTTGGTCTCATAGCTAAGTGCAAGCACATTAACTTCGGCTATCCCAATTTGATATGCACACTCTGAGCTTTGGATTGAGAATTCCTGAGGCAAAGCATCAGAGGCACAGGAGAATGTATTCCCATGGGGTGGAGAGGCAGTAGCACCAATATCCCGTTTCCAGAGGGATAAGAAGCAATAGTTTCAGCGTCAGCATTATTTACATGGTTATGGTGATAAAACATTTTTGAGTAACAGTGACTACGCCCAGCAGTTCCTGTGGCAGTGTAGCTACTTTAATGGTTCTGAGGTGTGATTTGTGTGTTGCCAGTGACTGCCAGGCCCCATACTTGTTCTTCTAGCTCTCAAAGTTTGCAAGTTTCCTAATATAGTCATCATGCCTGTAATCTTAGAACTCTGGGAGGCTGAGGCAGGAAGATCACTTGAGGCTAGGAGTTTGAGACTAGCCTGGGAAACATAACAAGACCCTGTCTCTACAAAAAAAATAAAAAATAAAACCAGGTGTACTGGCGTATGCTTGTAGTCCCAGCTATTTGGGAGGCTGAGGTGGGAGGATCACTCAAGCCCAGGAGTTTGAGGCTGCAGTGAGCTATGATCACATCACTACACTCAAGCCTGGGCGAGAGAGTGAACCCTCTTGTAAATGAACAAACAAATAAATTAATTAAAATTTATTTTTACTAAGATTATCTGAGTGAGTTTGTATTGCTCACAACTAAAAATACCGAATCAGTGGATTATTTTTTATCGTGTGCTTGGAATCCTATTTTACCATGTTTCTTAGTCTGGGGTAAATTCTACCTATGGACCGGAATTTTCTGAAGGAAATTTTTTTGAATGGTTTCAGAGTTATGTTCATAATTAAAGGAAATATTAATGAAAAATGCCAGTTCCATTTGCAAAGACAGAAACTGACTCTTTCACTATTTTGTAAGTTATTTTTTAAGGTTTCTTCAACTGTTTTGCTTGGTGATTTGTTAATTTTTTTCCTTAGGTTTCCTTTAAAAGACATAGGTCATTGACTTTTGCTTAATAAAACTCCTATTTTTAAAATAGGTTTATTGATATATAATTTACACGTTTAAATGTTCAATCCAGTAGTTTTCAGTATATTTACAGAGTTGTGCAGCCAACCCAATAATCTAATTTTAAAACATTCTCATCATTCCAAAAAGAAATTGTGTGCCTCTTCACAATCATTATCCTTTTATACTCCTTCCTCTCCCCTTCAGCACTAGGCAACCAGGCAACTACAGAACTAATTTCTTTCTCGTTAGATTTACCTATTCTGTTTATTTCATAGAATTGGAATTGTACAGTATACTGTCTTTTGTAGCTGGCTTCTTTCGCTTAGCATAATGGTTTTGAGATTACTCTATGTCATAATACAAATATACAAATCAGTATTTAATTTCTTATTATGGATTGCCAAATAAAATTTCATTTTATTGAAATTCCATGTTTTATTTATCTATTCATCAGTTGATAGGTAGTTAGGTTGCTTTCACTTTTTTTGCTTTATAAATACTGTTGCTATGAACATCTATGTATAAGCTGTGTGTGAATTTATGCTTTCGTTTCTCTTGGGTAGATACCTAGAAGTAGAATATCTGGGGTCCAGTGGTAACTCTGTGTTTAACATATTGAGAAACTGATGAAGTGTTTGCCATGGTGGCTGCACCGTTTTACACTCATTTCCATTTCAATGTATCCACATTCAATGCATTCAGTTTCTCCACGTTCTTGCCACAGTATGTTATTGTCTGTCTTTTTGATTATGGTTATCCTAGTAGGTGTGAAGTGGTATTTCATTGTGGTTTTGATTTCCAATTCCCTAATTGCTCAAACAATTATGGAGGCTGAAGAGTCTCATGATCTGCTATCCACAAGCTGGGGAACCAGAAAAGACAGTGGTGTACAGTAGTCCCTCTTTATTTGTGGTTTCACTTTCCATGGTTTCTATATGTGTATGTTATGACTAGTTGGTTCGTAGTATTGTGTATGTTCTCTATTTTCTTATTAACTATCTCTCTAAATGTTCTGTCCATTATTGAAAGGAGAGGGTGTTGGAGTCTTCAAGTATTATATTACTGTAGAACTGTTGTTCTCTTTATTTCTGTCAATATATGTTTTATACATTTTGGAGCTCTGTTGTTAGGTGCTTATACATTTACAATTATTATATCTTCTTGATGAGTTGAGCCTTTTAGAGATATGTAATATCCTTCTTTGTCCCTTAAAATAGTTCTTCACTTGAGATCTATTTTGTCTGTTGGTATAGCTAACTCAATTCTTGTTTAGTTACTATGTTACATGAAATATATTTTATCCTATTTGTAGCTCTAGATCTAAAGTGAGTTTCTTGCAGAAAGCGTGTCGTTGGATCACATTTTGTTTTTCTATTCATTATGCCAGTTTTTGCCTTTTCGTTGGATAGTTTTAATCTGTTTACATTTAAAGCAGTTACTGAGAAGAAGGGGTCATTTCAATCACTTTGCAATTGTTTTCTGTATGCCTTAAGCCATTTTTGTTTCTAATTTCCTCTTTTATTGACTCCTTTTGTATTCAATTTATTTTTTGTATTTAAACCATTTTGTGTGCCCTTTCATTTCCTTTTTTGTATTACTTTTTAAGGATATTTTATTTGCAGTTGCTTGGAAATACTTTAACGTCTTAAGTTTATGACAATCTAGTTTTAATTGGTATCCATTTAGCTTCGATAGCATAGAAAATTCTCTGCTCTAGGACAGTTCTGTTCCCACTTCTATGTTGTTATCATTAATTATATATTTATACATCATGTTCTTAACAACAGATCATAATTATTTTTATGCATTTGCCTTCAAATTGTGTTGTAAATGAAAAGTGAAATTATGAATAAAAAATGCAACAATACATTAACATTGGATTTTATATTTGCACATGTAGTCACTAGAGAGCTTTATTTCTTCAATGACATTGAGTTACTGCCTAGTGTGCTTCAATATCGACCTTAAAAACATCCTTTAGCACTTTGTGTAGGGCAGGCCTATTGATAAGGGACTCTCTTGGTTTTTGTTTATTTGAGAACATCTTAATTTCTTCCTCATTTTTTGAAGGGTAGTTATGATGGATTAGAATTTTTTTTTCCAGCACCTTAAATATGTCATCACATTGCCTTCTGGGCTTCATAATTTCTGATAAGAAATCAATTATTTTAAAATTTATTTTCAGATTATTATTATTTTTAAATTCATTCATTCAATAACTATTAATGAATCCAGACCGCAATAGAGCTTACATTTTAATTGAGGAGATATACAATAAATATAATGAATTAGTAAATTATATAGTATTCTGGAAGGTGATAAATGCTATGAAACAATAAACATCAGGATGGAGGATAGGGAAAAATTGTGTGTGTTGTTGAGGGGGAGGAGATATGCAATTTTAAATAAGGTAATCAGGATTGGCCTTATTGGGAAAAGATTTGATGAAATGAAGAAGTTTGTCATGCTACTATCTTGGTGGCCAGCATTCTATAGAGAAGGAATAGTCAGTATGGGTCCTGAGGTTGTAGCATGGTTGGCAAAGTTACAGAACAATAAGGAAGCCAGTGTAGATGGATCCTTGAATCCTAATAAGCACAGGAAAGAACAGGTGAATACGGAGGAAGGGTGGAAAAGGCCACATCTTAAAAGTGCTTCTAGGCCATTGTAAAAATTTTGGCTTTTCCTTTGAGTTAAATGGGAAGGCAGTAGAGGGTTTTGAGTAGAGGGACAAGATGGTATGATGCTGTTTTTAAATAATCTTTCTGGTTACTTTATTGAGAATCAACTGTATAAAGGAAATGGGGTGGAGACTATTGTAATAATGTTTTTGAACATTTGTTTTTTTGTTTGGCTTTGCCTTATTTATGCATTAGCTCATTTAATTCTCACATCAGTACTTTGAAGAAATTATTATTTTTCCCTTCTTCGCTGATGAATTAAGTGAAGCTCAGAGCAGAGAACCCCTTGCTTGAAGTCCTCCAGTAAACTGTTAGTGAAGATCGGATGTAACCCATGTCTGTTGATTGGACTATCCTGGTTGTCACAACTCTAAAATTCTGTGCTTCATTACCCAGCTACATGCAGTTTTGGCCCTCCCTTCCAATTCACTGGCTCTCTAAGCAGAATTTCTTTTTATATTTTGAGAATTTTGTCCCCATAATTTTTTTTCTGAATCAATAACTTAGGAAAATTAGACATTTCTATGAGGAAAAATCAACAAGGAAGCACAATGTAGTTTTTGAGGAATGGTTGGGTGAGTATGTTTAGAAAAGAGAGGACTCTCCATAACATATATTTTACTAGCCAATAGGAAAATAGTAAGACTTCTTTTAGTTTTAATATTAGTTTTAATGGTTTTAAAGAAAAAATAGAAATTAAATCTGTCACATTATCACATATGCAAAGAGTGTAAATATGTTAAACATATTCAGTATAATTACCACAACTTGAAAATACTTTATTCACTACAAACTGTATATACATTGACTTCTTGTATAAACAGATTTTTCACCTCTATATATATTTATTAAAACACAAAACTAATGACCTTGTGCAGCCCTACTGAACTTTATTCTTTATTCCTGCTTGGCCTTAAGGGAAATTATTCCAACCTTATTATTCTACATGGTCCCTGTCATTCTGGATTTCCTTAGCTTTTGACACATTATCAATGACAAGTAGGAAATTGTTACTGTTAGAAGTGTGAGAAATGTTTGTAATTCTCCTGCTTTTCTATTTGATGAAATAGTTTACCAGGTACTAATCAGAAAATTTTAGAGGAAACTTTTGCATATACAAAAACTAAATTCATATGTTGAGTTGGCCAGCATTTATTTTTCACATTCATTTTGTATTTCATAGGCTTGATACCAAGCTTCTAGGTATTCTTTATGTGCTTTGTAAGGGTGGGGTTCACTCTGAAATTGCTCAGTTCGCTGTTTCTAAGACATCGGCATGATCTGGAAAAGGACATGAATTCGGCTGTTGGGTCAGAAATGTCACCATCATAAAGTTAGAAGCCTGAATAATGCAACAGTATACTATACTGGGTAAAAAATAAAAAAGTGTGAGAGTGGATTCTGTAATAATTATGTCTGCTTTAATCTTTTCCCATACAGGTAATTTCAATATCTTGTACTTTGTCCAGATGCAAAATAGTAAGCAATGTTTATTTTTGATTTAATGTGTTTTGTTTAAAAGAGAATCCTTGCAATGATGTAAACCTTTTTGATTCTTTCATATTTCTTTAAAAAATATTTTGAAGTTTTCTGATACTGATCTAAATAAAAAAACCTGGGCTGTTTTAACCATCTGCCTAGTAGTCTGAGCCAGAGTTTGCCTCCAAACAATGGAAAGATTCACACTGAACTTTAGAAACAGAGGGTAGAGTAAATTTTGAAGGCAGATTCTTTCAAAGCTTAGCAAATATGAAAACACTGGCATGACTTTATTTAAAAATGAATCCCACTGAATTCGATTTTGTGCATTATTCTGTAATTCTTACCGTCAAAATTCAGACAGAAGGGTGAAAATCTTCTCTTTTGTATTTCACTCTTGTTTTATTATTACTGTTTAAATTTTTGAACTTAAAAAATTCTGCCTATACGACTCAGTTTAAGGGCCATGAGCAGCGAGTGAATGATACCAGCTTTTTTTCTGGAGAGCATTGAAAAAATACTGTCCGAACCTTGAGTATTTCTGTCACACTAGAATCAAGGTGCTCCATAAGCAACACAGCAATCAATATGTTCACAGAAGCCAAACCAAACCAACAATCCAACTGACGAGGCCAATATTTTTCCTTAGAAATAAATGTCTTAGAAAATTCTACTGAATTTCTCTAATATGTGAGGGCCAGGAGTTACAGTTTTCAAATGTATGATACTTGGGTAGTGGCTGATGACATTAAATTTGAGGGCTAAACTTTACATTCTTATTTTACAGCTGAATATGGTTCCATATGTCTAAAACATTAATTAATGTTAGTACCATGTCATTCACAAATTTAAGAAAATGATAACTGTTTTTACATATTAGGCTTTTTCTTGACACTTTTACATTGTATGGTAAACATTCATATGTTTTAAGAATGAACATTCAAAAACATTATATTCAAACAATTAGATACTATATAATAATAAATTTGCTTATTTAAAACATGCACACAAGCTTCACAGACTTTATTGAGCATATGGGAATGCTGTAATGACCACTTATTATTTCAGTATTTGATTTTAATTCTTTGAAGTTGTTGCATTCATTAAATGATTGAATGTGTAGGCACATTTGTATGTGTGTGTGTCTCTTTGTTTATTGGTATCATCAGAAGAAATTCAGCTGGAACACATATGTTTAGCTTGGTTAGCCTTTGAACATTTTGTAACAATTGGACATTTCTGGTTTTGGCTTCAAAATAGGGAAGAGGTTTGAGAAATAGACCATGATTTGCCGTTGAATATTTGCTTTTATTCTGTTCTTCAAAAATATTTTGTTTTAATATTGGTGGAGGCACAACAATAAAGTGTTAGAGAGTATTATTTTAGACAAATATCTGTAAAAGTCAAACTGAATAGTTTAAAGGAGAAGTTTGTACTACACATTCACATTCTCAAAAAGTTTCTGCTTTCTTGAGCAGGACTGACGGTATCCCTAATTCAAGGAAAGATGATCTATAAGCACTGAGGTCTGGATGTTACTTTTTACACTTAAAAGTATTTCTTGTTATGTTATGAGTCTTAGAAATGTGCTAGTATATATCTTCTTGTAGTAAAATTGACGCTTTCTTAGGACTATTATCTCATTTCTTTCTGGTAAGACTTCTGAATAATCTAAGGAAATGAAAGGAAAGGTCTCTCTGTGGAAGGAGGTGTGTTAGACTCACCCTCTTGCTCAGCTGGTATTAGTTCACACATATCCGAACTATTGTGCAGGTTTGTTTTCCAAGAGGTAACTCACCTTTCCACACTTTGCCTGGTTTGCTCATATGTACCATATATTGGTATTTTTCAACCATATTTTCTTTCGTCACACTTATGACTTTTTTTCCCTAAGGAGTTGCCTTTGAAGATATTTTCTGATAATTTCTCCTAGTCCTTATTCTATTTCCAGTGAGGGGAGAGGAAGAGAACACAAATAGTATTCTTCCCCTATTTATTGGAATATACCTTTACTGTTTTATAATCTAGCATTTAAAAAATCTGTGAAAAATAAAAAGAATGATAGGAATTTTCTTTATATTTTTTAAGGTCCTAACTTTGATTACTTTTTAGCTTGGCATTCAAAAATAAGTAATGGTCAAAAAGTATATAATTTTTAAAAATTTCACTCTCTCACAAAAAAAATCAAGAGAATGAAATATACATTTGCCTACTGATTTAACTAGATTTCCTTTTCAGTTAAATGCCATGGAAGAAATCTTTAAATCTTTAAACCTTTACATTCTACAAAATGAGTTTTCTTGAGCAAAGATTTTCAGTTCCTATTTCTTGAGGTTAATTTTCTGTTACTCTAGTGGGAAAATGAATCATTTAACTTTTTTTCCCATTTTATTTCTCTCGGCAAAAAAAGTCCATTTTATATAGATTTTGTTTCCCTTCGCTTATGATATTATGTTTTAAAGATTCTTTAATCTCTTGGAAAAACTATATGTCATTTTAATGTCACAAATGTATATTGTAATTTGTAAATGAGATAGTTTTTTTCTGACATATTTTTGTTTGTTGCATATAATAATTTAGAGTTTTCAAAGAATAAATTTAAAGCCCATTTTATTTTGGGTGGAGGCTAACATTTTATTAGTGTCTTTGTCACATTTATATGCTACCTTTCTCAATTTGACCATATCTGCCTAAAAATTGCTTTCTGTTTCTAGAGAGTATATAGGACAGGACTGATAAATAGGAGAATGGGGGCCTAGATTGGCACCATGATGGACTCATACTAATCTTTTACCTCAGGAAATGAAATTAAGGCTATTCATCCACAGAGGTATAGGGTGAGCTTATGAAACTTGAAGTGGTGGAGGCAGATTTGGAATTCCTGCGGGAGCAGCCATTGAAACTTGGGTCTCTTGGTGTTGCTCTTTTCTTCCGACTGGACCTGGCGGTATCTGCATCGCTGGGGTCAAACACCACTGTCATGGACTCCATCCTGGTCACGGTGTACATACTGCTTTGCCGGGTTGGATGAAACCTGGTGGTCTTGAGCTCTAGCTCATCATAGCTGGAAACTTTGATGAAAGGACACCAGCGAAATGCTCTCTTGAAGCCAGCTCGAAATCTGAGGAAAAGCAGGCCATGGAAAGAAAAAGTTGTTTTTTTCAAGCAGATATGTCTTTCAGCTGCCACAGAAAATTCTACTTAAGGTAGTTATAACAACTCAGTTTTTGAGTTTGGTTTTTAGCCAAACTTAGAATTTGTGTCACAGTATTGTTGTTAGTCTTTTAGTTCTTGTTTGAATTGAATTGAATGGAAATTAATTTCCCATTAAGGAGAAGCATTGATTCCCAGCAATGAAAAGCATCTCATTCCCACCAGTGAGAAGTCATCAATAGCAAACACATAGCATCAGGTAACCAATTTAGTAAAGAAACAGCATATTTTCCTAAAATAATTTTATACATTTACATAAATATAATTGAATTAGGCTGGCTAATTAAGGCACTTAAATATGATATATTTCAAAATAGCTCATTTCAGAAATGATTACACATTTATAAAGTCTCATTTAATGTTAGAATTAATTGCTAATCTTGATGGTTTTTATCTAATCATGTATGAAAGTACAAAATCCTTATCTTTGTAAACCTTTAAATGAAGTTGATTAAAAGTGGATGTAATGCTGTGGGGTGGCGGGAATTGAGATATGGCTTATGCAATTAGTGAAAAAAAAGGCAATAATTAATTAAGTATTTAACAAACTTAAGGCACAGTGTGGTAGAGCCCCAACTGGGAAGAGAGAGCTTACGATTTAATTCATGCAGTTACTTACATAAAGTCCCAATTCTACTTGCAAAAAAACCACATTGACTTATTGCAGGACTTACCAACCCTATGAAATTTAACCCTACCCCTTCATGTGCTGACCAATAAAACCAACGTGATTTTATCTGGAAAGCAGATTTTATCATTTTTTTCTAGTTTTACGTTTGACTATAAATATTCTCACTTTTCATTTTTTAACTTCATAAACATCTTTCCCTTGACCACCGTGATTTCTTCACAAGCCATCTCCATGGAGGCTGCACGCTCTCTTACTTACCCCACCTCACCATGCAGGAAGGAGGATTGGAGCTCCCCTTATTTTTACAAAACCTTCTACTTCAAAGTTTATTTATTTACAACGTATCCTTTTTAATAAAGTCTGCTCACATATGCCATCATCTCTCCATCTTACAGAAATTATTCAAGAATTTCTAGGAAGTATCTTCATTTCTTTGAAGATTTGAGCATATTTTCAATTCTCCTTCAATCATGAGGGTACTTCTTTTTCTTTGGCAGGTAAAATTCTGAGCTTTTGGAGGAAGAAGTTGGCCCATAGAAGAATCATCCAGTTAGAACCCCAAGAACATTGTTTGGGGCATCTAATTATTAATGTGGGATGCTTTATAAAGTGTGTATGGGGGTCTTAAAAGATAAAGCCTGTGCCTCTCTCAGAGAATTCTTAAATTATCCCTTCCTTCTGCACTTTGAATTTGCACCAAGAAAATGGAACATTGTATGTTTCCAGCGAAGGCAGGTGTGACAAGCAACTTGCATTTCGTTTTGTTTTTACCTTTTATTCAGACAGCAGTAGATGATGGGATTGTACATGGTTGAGCTCATTGCCAGCCAAAAGCTAGCCAGGTAGACCTGCTGGATGTATTTCCATCTATTTAGTTGTTGATAGATTGCAGTGAGAATGAAGTAAATATGATAGGGCAGCCAGCAGATAGCAAATGTCATGACAACAATAATCATCATTTTGACAACCTATAAAGAAAAAAAGTCATTTTTTACAAACATAATACTCATTGAATATAATAGTTCCAACAGCTTATTGCAAATCATGCTTTTCTGATAATACACATCATGCCTAGGAAACAGTCAATATATTAAAAAATGGTGAAGCAGTATAGGGACAGTTGCCTAAGGTAAGTCTCAAGAAAGTATGCTATGTCACTATTCATTTCTACCTATCTAAGTGAATGGGTAGTGCTAACTCAAACACAGACAAATATATTTTGATTGGCTTGAAGAAAATAAGTGTTTACAAAAACCCAGAAAGCCTGGAACAGAGAGAGATAGGAACTAGGATGTGGCTGTGTAGCCTGCATTGTACAATAGTGGAGACATTATCTCCAGGAAATCAAGTAAGTCACTATGGAGGTTTACTAGGCTGCTAGGGCTGGGCTTGTTCAAGTTAGTACTCTTTTATAGCCTGACTATAGCTTAAGACTATTCAGATTTCTTTAATAGACTGCTCACTATGCAACCTTATGAATATTAATTTGGTTTCTCTTATAATCTGATATTGGGGAAGATTTCCCCAAATAGTGATTATATGTAAATATTCACATTAGTGTGAGGAAAATACTAACTTCAGATTTGCAAATAGGTTATTGGTTTATGCAACTGTTTTATGCATTAGCTTTTATGACTTTGGTAAGCATAGGCCATTTCCTTTGATTGTATACTATACTGGACAGCTCTAATCAAAGTAGAATGTCAGCTATTATTTCTCTTCCACTAGGCCTAAAATTCCTGAAGACAGAATAGTCTTAACTATCTTTTTACTCCCAGCATCTACCACAGTCCTTGGTATATAAATAGGTAAATAGATATAGAATGAATGAATAATAAATAGCAATGTACAGTTTGTAGCAGGAGGTTGAAATGAAGGATGTTTTGTGTGTCTCTAAATAAAATAAAATCTATTCCATTGTCTGTGTTTATAAGAAAGGTAGAATCAAAGGTATTAAACACTGAGCAGCTAGGCTTTTCATTTAAAATAACATTCTCTGAGTATCTCGTTTGATATTTCTCAGAATCAATCTATCTGCTAAATACGTTCATGTCTCTTTTGGGAATTTGGAAATAGTAAAAAGTTTAAAATAAGATACTTTAAGCTAAATAATTTTGAAGCTTACCTGCAGTCAGATTAAAACAAATTAGGGAAAGCTCTGATGTAAAGGGCCTATGAGGCACCTCAGAACTAGGAAGATACAGTATTTATAAAATGGACTTGTCATTTGACTGCAAATTAGGGATTCAGATGAAGGTTGGCAAGGTTTAGTCACGAGATACATGGTTTTAGAAACAGATAAAGCATGAAATGGATCAATGTGGAAGGTAACTCTTCCCTAAGGGCCAAACTACTATACCATCCAGGTGACCAGCACTGAGCAGATGGAAATTGGCAATTAGAGATGAAAATCCAGGTCAACAGCTCACGAAATGTCATCACTGGCCACAACATGTAACATCTTTTGATTTTCCCAGTGTTCCTCAAATTACATTGCTTTCTTCTGAGGAACTACTTTTGCATTTCTGCATTTTATTTCTCAGATTTCCTATTCATAATTCATATATTTGTGAAAAACAAGTGATGTAATTTAATTTACATTTATGCAATATTTTACATATTTAATTAATTAATTGTCTTTCAATTGCACATTAGCAAATTGAGGCAAAAACCCAAAGCTCTGACCACTGTGATTCGTGTAACTAAGAAAGATCTTTCTTTTCTTTTTACCCTCTATTTACAGATAAAAACATCTGTCGAATACCTTGAGTCTAGAAAATAACATTGAGAAAAATAGTGGTTGAGGACCAATTCCTTATCCAGAAGTTTACAATATAATGAAAAAAAAAAAAGAAAATGTACAATTTTAATAAAAATGCATGCATTGAAATGTTGAGTATGAACATGTGCAGATAAAATTTAAAATAATATTTATGAGAATCTACTAGCTTATTTTAACAAAGACTGACTCAATACATGCCTACTAACTGTAGGTTCAAAGGATATTAGACTAAATGAAATGGGTCTATTGATGTTTTCATTGTTGAATTTGTGAGCATTCTACTATTCCTTGAACAGGGTAGTTAAGCTCCAGCCATAGATTATTTTCCCTGGCTCCTCTCTCTACCTAGAACACTCTTTTAACCATGATTCCCAGGGTTTAAGTACCTCGCCTCCTTCAAGTCATTGCACAATTGTCATTTTTTTTTGAGTGCTATTCTGACCAACTGATTTAAAATCACAATCTGCCCTTTCAGCCCTCCCAGAACCTCTTAGCTTGCTCTTTCTCTTCAGTTTGTTATGTTTTTTTCTTTATTTTGTGTCTCCTGATGCTGGACTGTAAAAGAGCAAGGATTTTCTGTTTGTTTTGTTCATTTGTATTTCAGGCACCTAGACTGGACTTCATACATAAAGGGTACTCAGAAATTTTTTAAATGAACAAGTGAAAGTGACTATAAAACAAAAGAAACTGAAAGACACAGACAGTTAAGTAATGTCTAAGATTTTACTCAGTCATCAATTACTAGTATCATTTGTTTTTCATTTAAGATGACCATGTGTATGTAAAATGAGCATGGAATTTACTGCTATTTTTGCTTTCAAGGCAAACAAATTTAAAAAGAGAATGAGTCCAAAAATAATATAACTTTTTCTTTTTCTTTTTTTTTTTTTTTTTTGAGATGGAGTTACTCTGTCACCTAGGATGGAGTGCAGTGGCGCAATCTTGGCTCACTGCAACCTCTGCCTTCTGGGGTCAAGCAATTCTCCTGCCTCAGCCTCCCGAGTAGCTGGGATTACAGGAGCGCGCCACCACGCCTGGCTAATTTTTGTATTTTTAGTAGAGAAGGGGTGTCACCATAGTGGCCAGGCTGGTCTCAAACTCCTGACCTTGTGATCCACCCACCTCGGCCTCCCAAAGTTCTGGGATTACAGGTGTGAGCCACCACACCCGGCCTAATATAATTATTTTTATGGGGCACATGAAAGCATTAGATTTCACTCTAAGCAAATGTTAAGAGCAAGTAAAATATCTTTGAGAATGTTAACATAAATTGTATTTGAATCATTTTATATAGACTGACTACAAACTCTCTATGCACAAAATTGTTTTCTGACAATTGCTGAAAACCTGCTAAGGCTATCAGAGTCCTTTTAGATAAATTTCCATTTTCAAAGTGCAAAAAGTTCAGAAAAACATGCAAAAATTAAAATGCATGTGGAAAATGGAACAGAGATTTCAGATAGCTTCTAACTCACATACAGAGGGCCTTTAGGACTTGTTGTGAAAGATTTTTAAACATATTTTAAAAATTTTAAGAAAAGTTTAAAATATCCTACAGCATTTTTAAAAAGTGAAACAGCGGCTGTAATATATTTTCTGTACTTATTTCCATATAATACTGTTACCTTGGCTCTCTGCTTACAAAATCTTGTAGTGTTATTTCAGATGACGAACTCTCTGGACCCTAGTTTTGATGTGAATGCAAACGTAGGCTCTTGGGTGGGAGAAATTGTCTGCTTTGTGAAATGCTGAAATCACAAAATTGAAATCACCCTCCTGATAAAATGCCAAAGAAAAGAACTCTTTGAAGCATGAAGCTTGAGCAATGATAGATGTGCAGGTACTATGAGCAATTACCACTCTATTGCATGGCTGAACAATGGTAACAGGGCAGACAGGCTATGAACTGTTAAAGAGAAAAAAAAATCAGGTGGTGAACTTTCAGAATCTTGAGATTTTTAGGCAAGATCAAGATGACAATCTGGGACAGAGAAAGTTCAAATCTCTCATCATGTCTTAATAATGTTATTAAGTGGGTAGCCACCCATTATCCTTGGAAACTTGCAAGCAGGATGAAGGAGGAAAGTGGGGACATGTAATGTAGCCCTTACAAAGTTATAGTGCCTAGTTTTAGCAGTTAAGAATCTAACTACATAGGCAGGATGGAATTGCATGTCCTCATATATTAGTGAGAATAAACTTTGGATACCTCTCCTTCACGTATCGAAGGGGAAAGAGCTTAGATTTTTGTATACCGTACAGATTAGACTGAAATACCTACAGCTGTTCTTATCTATCACATTAAATTAGTGTAGGATGGATGATTTTGAGGTTTGGGTTTTAAAAGCAAAAATTAGTTTAGGAAATTAACTAAAATGCTGACAACTATTTAGAAAACTCTAGGGGTCATATTCTTTGGTACAGGATTGATTCTTTCTAAATGCTTAGAATAAAAATGGTCAGCTTGGTGTGACAAAAAACAAAACAAAACAAAACTTCTTGTTTTGATTAGAATCTCCTTAGAGCATATGTTTTGAAGAATCATCCCATGGACCACACCCTACCACTTGTCCATATCTGTCCTCTGTACAAGTGTTCTCAAATGAATCATTATTTTCCTTTAAGTAAAAATTTCAAGCCATTTTTTTTTTCTAATCACAAATTAGCAGAGTAAAATAATATACTAAAGGGTAAGATGTTTTAAAAATTAATAAAAAGCATCAAAATTGAAAGTATTACTTCATAGGCTATTTAGGTTTGGCTTTTGGTGCTTCACTTTCAAAGACAAAAGAATTTCAGTATCACATGATATTTTGCAGAGTGCAGGATGGCTCGGAAGATAAATTTGGCCAGTAATTTCAGGACTGGGTGAGAATATAGGCATTTTATGTGAGTGTCATCTAAGAAATTGGGCACTGTTGCCAAATCCAACTAACATGCACATTCAGTTAACATTAACCTAGAGCAATGCCCATAAGAAATTATGTCAAGCCCAAGCAAATGAAAAAACCTGTGTGCATGTATATGCAATTATGGAAAATATATGTGTGTGTGTGTGCACGTGTGTGTGTATTGTATTGTGTTGTGCTTGCAATCTATTTCTTTACATTTCATTGGTCATGTTTCCTTTTTAAAGTAATTTTATGTTTGCAATGTAAACTTGATCTTTGAGAGCACTATAAGATT